CCGAATTCCCCTAATAAAAATTTGCCTATATTCTTCCACCATAGTGAGGCCTGTCCTCTTAGTGCAGATGTGGCGATGGCAACTTTTTGTCTTTCAGGCACAGTGTAGACAGTAAAACGTTCCTATAATATCCTGCACTGTATTGGATTCTATGAAACGTTGATGGGAATAATCCTATAATTTATACGGTGGAACTTTTAAGCTTATGATATACTGTTCGCTTGTAGCAGCGCAGGATTCCAACGTATACTTTCCAATGAACTTGTATGCAAAAATTCAACAACATTTGTTTAAATTATCGCAGTACAATCCTTCGGGCCGTGACCGGGGTGCACAGATAATAGATTTTCTCTTCCAGAGGACACGTAACAACAGTTTAAACATAATAGCAGGCCGCTTGTCTTCATAGGTGTAGAGAGAGAGAGAAAGAGTTGTGATTCTATTTGAATTCTGAGTGTACACTATTGGCTCATTTTCTCTAGCACAATCAAAAACCTCTCTCTGTTTCGATTCACTTTGATAGACTCAGATATTGTTTAGCGCATTGGTAAATGGTGTGATCATACACTTGCTTAATGTGACTTCTGTGATGTGTTTCCTGTGGTGAAAGACATATTGAAAACTTAATGACATACAACTGGTAAATAATAATAGATTTCCTGAGGTCTTTTACTCCATCAGCTAAATATCATTGTGCTTGTTGTTTACTCGCTCAGAAAACCAATGTAGCACCATTTATTGTCGAAATTATAAATTAAAACCTTTATTTACCCCAAAACATATTCGAATTCGCAACTTAAATTCTGCTGCATCCTTCTACGACAAATCAGTCGTTTTTTTATGAATATTTAAGTATTCTTTGTGTACTCGCTTTTAGATCATGAACCCTTACTCGCCGCACTTTAAGTACAAATTCATTTTATATTGCCATCTGCCAATCAGGGATCCAATGTTCAACTGTAGTTGTTCGAGATAACTAAACTCGCAGCACCTGTCGCTGAAACGAATATTTTTCTACGCATTCAGATGATTACATTATTTGTTTTTGAACGCTATCATACGTCACTTATAGCTATAGCTCCCTGCCCTTTTAGTCAAAATTTTATTGCATCTACCTAACCTCTAAATCTCTAACAGTAGATATTTTGCTGCACAAATCAAATAAAACAACCTCACAAAAAAGTGTTATTCATAAGCAAGCAGTATCTTAGAGAAAAACTCAAAAGCTTTACTTTCAGCTAGCAGTTTTTCCAGAGAAAAAAAGAAATTTGTTTAAAAAAATTCAAACCTAAACCTCTACTCGCTGTGCATTCTGATGGAATTCGATATATTATAGTGAGTATTATGCGTTTATAGTTTGCGTTTTAATGTTGTAATTGTGCTTGAGTTTGTTTTTGTCGTGAATTTAGAGGCGATCCAAGCAAGAACATGAGGTCTATTTTTAGACTAAGTGGGATCGGGCCGACTTTCTCTCATTTGTAACTATTTGTAACTTTGCTTTTTTATCTTAAAATTTGGTTCTGCTTATTTTTTATTGCCCTTGTGTACACATATGCTGATTTAACAGGAGCTTGAACAATTCTACGATTTTTTACGTGACGCGGTATTGATATTTTTAAATTTTAGAGTTTCATCTTCTTAGGCAACAAAGATTAACAGGTGACAGGTAACGGAGGACGGGGACGCCTGATGTTTAACAGAGGTAAACAGGCATATGTCCTGCGCCCTCTTCTATCTAGTGGCAGCAACTCTCAGGAGCCTCATGAGGCCACCTCGGGAAATTCTTGAAGAATTTTACGTAATTGTGCAGGGCCATACAGAGACGTCTTAAGAATACATTAGTTTTGATCGATAGGCGAATGATTTGTTACAACTTGGTTTGTTAAACACTAATTACAGCATATACAAACGCATACACTTACACATATTAAGACACATACAAAACACATGTAAAACACATGTAAAACACATATAAAAGCACATATATAACACATATAAAACATGTAAGCGCATTATAGAATAATAGAAATTAGATATTAGTTTGCACACACTTATACAAGTCAAACAACAAAGGTTAACAGTCAGCACTTACTCGTGCTTAGAGAAACCAACAGTTATGGCTTAAGTCAAAGCTAACGGATTAACTAAAATTAAGAAGTAAGTTAGTCTAACGGTTTCACAATTGGAATAACGCGCAAGCTGGCTCTGACCCAAAGTTGGTGTAACAAGCCTAATGGCGAGAGAAACTCGACGCCGCAGAACACTACTCGCAAGAGAATCAAATTACCAATGTGGCCTTCAAACAGGCAGAACACGATCTGATTCTACCCTCTAAAACCTTTCTTTAATTAATCTCTTCTTTCTACCTTATTTGAATATCACTCGAGCTAGAAATTTGCATTACGACAAGAAAATAGAAATTTGGGAGATAAAACAGAAAAACTAAACTAAAAAACTGATTAGAAACTTAAATGAAAACTCTACAAAGTATTCAATAGCATATTTTCCCACTTATAGTTGACATAGGCTAACTTAAATACGAAGCAAAGATGCAGTTCAATTATTGCGTAAGGCATGACTAATACATGCGTATCCTCATTCAATACCGCGACTGTTATAACTGGGATATCTTCTCCGTAAAGAAACGGCTAAATTGTAGAGACATTATGTTAATTGGAAGCAGGAAAGATGAAAAATATGCAACGCCTTGGCCGGGAATCGAACCGCAGACGTATGGAATACGCGTCCAGCGTGCAGAACAACACACCACGAAGGCATGCGAAGAAGGCGGGAGACATACCTTATATACTCCTCCTTTTAAAGGGAAACACTCAATTACCAAATCCCGGGTGAGGAGAAACATCGTCCAACACCTTTTTAGTTCGGACGCCACTGTAGAGACATTAGGTATTTTTTGAAAGCAGGAGATATAAAAAATTAGCAACGCCTTTCCCGGGAATCGAGCCACGGACCTCTGGAATACGCGCCCAGCATGCAGACCACTACGGAAAAGGCACGCGAAGGAGGCGAGAGAAATACCTTATAAAATCACCAATGGCCACTGCAGACGAGTTGCTTTCGAGCAAGTTTCCGGCAACCGAGGGAAAATATTTTTCCACATTCATGTGCCAAATGTTTCTTGCATTTGTATTTTGTCTAATGTGCTTAAAATTATTTTCTTCTCGTCTTTAAAAATGTCTGGCATTTTTTTTTATTTCACTATCGAGCTACTTCTTGCGAAATTTCGGTCAGGACTGGTTTAGAGTTTTCATTTTATTAAAAACCCAAGCATTATATATTAACATATTTTAATTACTGTACTCCATTTATATTATATTTCCGTGAAGAATAATTATGATTCACCTTACATTCAATTAACATTATTTTTGCTTGCTGTTTTAACATTACATGGCTTCCTGTTCTTAACATTATTCCTGCTTCCAAGTACCTTTATCATATGAATATGTTTTTAAGATTTGTTATTAAGAGGTATGTTGAGAGAATTTTATTAAACTCTTTTGGTTTGCAACGATTAGCAAACTTCTCTTTTCTGGCCTGATGTCACAACTAAGCCGGAGGCAAATTTCGTTTATATTAATTCAGATAAACTAATAGTTAGAAGACAGGAAAGTATTTTCAAATTTGCACATATCAACTTTTGTTTAATACTAATTAGTTCGTTGCGTATGCCGAAATTGTGCAAGATATTTTTGGAAATGCACCAGATTCGCTTATTGTGTTTTACAGTTCAATTTTGTTTTTGTAGCATCCCTGTTTCAAATGTCAAGCCAAAAACAGCAAGAATTATATATTCGCCGTCATATGTTAGAGTTTTGGAAAGGAATTAATCTAAAGAACGCTACAAAAATATTTATGAGTTTATCACACTTCATTAGATATCCGTAATTAGGACTTGCTTGAACCATTCTTCTGGCAACCATTCTTCCATAAAGTAATGGACAAGAAAACAACAACAAATGTCAAAGTGATTTGAAAGATTCAGGTCAGTCAGTTAATTTGTGATTGTTATCTTTGTGATTCGCCTCGTTCAGGAAGAATAGTGGCTTTTGATAATGTTATTTTCCCTGCAAAAGTGGAAACAACTCCTTGTCAAACAAGGAAAGAATTATGAGATAAGCCTATCACAACATGGTCGACCATTGAAGTAATTTTGAAGTAGACTGATCACACTCTTTATCTTTAGGCGGAATTATGAGAAAAAGGCTTTCAAAAAACACTTTGTACAGACATTAGGATTTTTAGAAGCAAGAAAGATGAAAAATAGCAACCGCCTTCGCCGGGAATCGAACCACGGACCTCTGGAATACCGACCCAGTGTGCAGAACCACTACACCACGAAGGCTGGCTAATAAAGTGGGAGAAATACCTTATAACTTTATATGCGAAACATTTTTAAAGCGAAAAACTCAGAATATTCCTGAGTTAATGTTGAATACTTAACGCAGCTGAGATGATATTAAAGTTATGTTGGCGGGAAGACAGCTAGTTGAAGATTCGCTGAGATAAAGAACATGCACCTTGTAATAACTTACTTACATCTTCTTTATCGGTGGTTCTTGTGTTCTATTGGCCAAACAAAGACACTTTCCTTTAACTAAATCTATTTAATGAAGAGAAGACTATGTACAAATATTATATACAGATTACAGAGTATCTAGTTTATGTCACTCTCAACCACTCTCATCAACCTCTCAACCCTCTCTCCCGAAACTCTTAATTAGCTAAACATACGGGCGGCGCAGCGCCCTCTATCTCTTTTTTTCTACATCACTCCCCACCTGTACTCTTTAACAAGAGTACACAAACTTACTTACATAACAATATCAACATTAATTAATAATGGATTAATACTAAATGGTATGACATATATAAATGAATAATATAAAAGAATAATCTATACTAGTATATATCAAAGCCACAAATGAACATAATAATTAATAATATAATAAAACTCAATAATATCAAAAGTTCTATCTAAATTAAATCTCGAAAGGATATAACATCTGGATCGATCTTCTGAATTGTCCTTTGGGCATGCGAACGAGGCACGCTCGAACATGTCCATCTCTTCCTATAATCACGTTTTCAATTACACCCATGTCCCAAAGTAGTTTGGATTGTTTTGGTCCTTCTACCAACACAACGTCTCCAGTCTTAAGGTTCCGCTCAGTTTTAGGATTAGCAAAGTTATGCGCATTTCTAAGATGGAGTAAATATTGCTTTTTCCACTTAATCCATGTTAATTTTAAGAGCTTAGATTGGTAAAGCTTCCTCCTGGTTATAGTCTCTTTGTCGGATACCTTGTTAAAAATTTCCAAGAAATGCTCGGGAAAGTTAAATGTACCACGTCCTGGCAATAAAAACTGTGAAGGTGTGAGCGGGCGAGGTTCACCCAGCTCGTTGCTCTCGTATGTTAGAGGTCTATTATTTAGCACACACTCGAGTTCAGTTAATATTGTAGAGAGCTCTTCGAAAGTCAGTAATGCTCTCCCTAAGATTTTCTTCAGAGGTTCCTTGATGCTTCTCATCAAACGCTCCCAGAACCCTCCCCACCATGGGGAACGCTCAGGTATGAATTTCCATGTTACCTCTTTGGATGTCAAGAAATCACTCACACTTGGATCTGCTTTGATTCTCTTAAATCCTTTAATTATTTCACATGTGCTGCGGAAATTCTTCGCATTATCTGAATAAATCACTTTGCAGCTCCCTCTTCTTGCTAAAAAACGTCGTAATGAAAAAATGAAACTTTTTGCTGACATATCTGAAACCACTTCAATGTGTACAGCACGAGTGACGGCGCATGTAAATAAGGCTATGTATACCTTTTTGTGGTTATCCGCTTTTTCTCTAATAATAACTGCTCCCGTTAAGTCGATGCCTACAACTGTTACAATTGTGAAAGGATTACTTTGAACTACACGATCTCTGGGTAACTGACCCGTTAACTGTTTGGCGGGCTTCACTGCAAACTTTTTACACACCAGGCAAGCGTTAATAACTTTCTTTACTACTTGTCTTCCTTTAGGTATCCAAAATTTATTCCTGACTTTGGACAATGTTGCCATGACTCCTGAATGGAATACTTTTATGTGTTCACTAAATATCACTAGTTCGGTGAACTTCGTTTTGGGCAGAATAATGGGATGTTTTTCGTCATCTATTAATTCTGATTGTTCCAAACGACCTCTGACACGCAAAATACCTCTACTGTCCAGATATGGTGCTAAACTGTAAAGCTTAGAATCTGGTGTTATTAGATTATTCCTCTCTAGTTGTTGAATATCAGAAAAGTAATTCGCTCTCTGTACTTGTTTTATCCAGTACTCCTCAGCTTCTTGGATCTCCAATACAGTAAGAGGACCTTCTTCACAGGCACGTTTTCTTAGCTTAGCGACAAACCGCTTTACCCAAGCTGTAACTCTCAACAATTTTTCTAGACTGCTGAATTTGGTAATGTCTAACGCATTTTCTTCTTCTGGAATAGTCACTTGAACATAAGTGCTTAAACGTTCTAAATTTTGAGAATCAGTTTCTACTTTAAACTTCTGCTCAGGCCATTGATCTTCAGAATCTTTCAACCATGATGGACCATGCCACCAGTTATTATCTTTCACCAATGCATTTGCTGTTTCACCACCACGAGTTAATTTATCTGCTGGGTTTTCCGACCCTGGACAATATTTCCACTTATCAGGCGAGGTACAGTCTTGTATTTCTGCAACTCTATTCGACACGAACTGCTTCCACTCACGCGCTGACCCCTTTATCCACCACAAGCAAATTTCGGAGTCCGTCCACAGAACTAACCTACCTACCAAATCCTGAAACATTTTCAATAAATATTTTCCTAACCTAGCTGCAACTACAGCCCCCATCAATTCCAACCTAGGGAGGGACAACTTTTTAACGGAGCTATCCTACTCTTCGACATTATAAACGACGTACATACCTCTCCTCTCTCATTCTTATATCTAAAATATGCCACCGCTCCATATGCCACTACTGACGCATCACTGAAAATATGAATTTCAACCGATTGACCTTTTTTTAGAACTTCTGTAAAGTAGTACCTCTCTATTTTCAACGCGTTTAATTCCTCAATTTCAGCGCACCACTTTATCCATTTGCACCGTAACTCCTTTGGCAACTCTGCATCCCACTCCAAACCTCTCTCCCATATTTCCTGCATCAGTCTCTTAACTCGCACCACAAATGGAGAAATAAATCCGACTGGGTCAAACACCTTAACTGCTGTGCTTAACACCGATCTTTTACTATTTCTCAACGATTCCAAACTACTCAACAATGATGTAACGTCTACTCTCAAACCATCCTCTTCTAAGTTCCACACCAAGCCTAACACTTTCAACTTACTATCTGTCTCAGACCTACTTTCTTCACACAACCCTTCCTGAACCCACAAGTCATACAGCTCTTTAGAATTAGTGTTTAGCTTTCTCAAATTAAAACTCGCGTCTCTCAAAATAGATACCGCCTCTGATGAAAGACTGAAAGCTGATTCTACACTTTCCCCTCCATAACACAAATCGTCTGCATACAGTGAGCTATTTAACATCTCGACACAGTTTTTGTTTGTTTCCGTATATTTCTTTAAATGATGTTTGATCGTTGCACTCAATAAAAACGGTGAACAATTTACATCCAAATAATACTCTGTTCATTTGCATAATTTTAAAGTCCTCACTGTCATTATCAGGATACCAGAGAAATTTTAAATATTGCCTATCTTCCCTTGCTATCCCCATCATCAAAAACGCCTTTTTCTATGTCACCGCAGAATCCAATTTTAAATTTTCGAAAGGAAAGAATGATATCCAAAATATTCGGATTTAGGTTTGGGCCTCTTTTCTAAGCAATCGTTTAACGATAGCTTTCCTCTTTCGCAACTGCTGCAATTAAATACCATTCGAACTTGAGTGCTTTTTTTATCTTTACGGACCACTGCTCGGAATGGCATAAAGTATCCCTCTCTCGTATCCTCACGCTCTTGAATAATGGTTTTTGTGTCTGAAATTTAATTATTTCCATAAACTGTTCCCTCACAAAGCTGTTACTTTTTAACTCTCGCTGCACCCTTTCGAACTGCCTTTTCGCTAAACCAAAATTATTTTCCAAATGCTCTGGACTCCTATTCCACAACAAGCGAGCCTCATACCTCCCGTCTACATATTTCAAATCCTCTTCAAATTGTTTAATTATTCGCTCATCGCCAGAACCCCTTTCCGACGCGCACTCAGAGATTCCTAGACTTTCAATCTCCCAAAGCTGACGAATCTGATCCGATATTTTTAATTCCTCTTCCGAATCGATGTGTATAAACAAGCCGGTGGAAGTCTGACCCTGAACTTAACTTCTTACTCTCTCTCCCCCCACTCTACCACTCAATGTCCAACCGAATATGCTTTCATGTGCAGTACTAAATAGTCTGTTAACCGATGTGTTTTCCCCGTTAAGATGCAGTTCAAGTAATCATTCCCAATTAAAATCTGTACCTCTGCCACTTCACTATCGCAGCTGTCAGATAAGTGAAATCCTTGTTGGCGAAGATTGTTTATAATTTCTGCAGATGGCCTGGGTAATGCATTGGAACATATGGTTTTTACTTCGAGTGCTTCGATGATTAGGGTGAACCCTGTCTTATTTTTTAGAGAAAGTCTTTTTCTTTTAAATTCTTGCACTAGCGGATTCGAAGATGCAAATGTATGAATTCTTAATCTTTCTTTACCAATAGTTGGTAAACTTGCTTTTCTGGAAATAGACTGACAAACATAAGATCTTTCGGAAGCTGAATCGCATAACAACCTAACGTTAAATGTGGAATTATTTCCTACCAGTTGACCTCTCAATGTCTGATAATAAATCACGTCATTAGGAATTTGCTTGCTCAGTGTTTCGAGGAATAGTGAACTAACGTTTGTCTCTTTTGCTGCGCTCGCAGTATTTTTAATGGATTTATTTTCTTGCCCTTCTGCATCACACAGGCTCTCTAAATGCGACAAAGATTTGCAAATATTACATTTAACCCATTTTGCCTTACAAAATGGTTTTTTGTGACCCTTTTTTAAACAGCGCTTGCACTTAAATTGATCGTATAATGCTTTGTGTTTCTCTGAAATACTTAAGTCGCAGTCTTTAGAAAGGTGAGATTTAAGACAAAAGTCGCACATATAATTTTCGACTGATGTATTAAGCGTCGCCGCTGATACCATTTTCTTTTTAATTGGAGCAACACTCTTACGATAGTTGTCGGTATTTCTTTCACTGGTTATCGAAAGTGTTTGTTGTTTAAGACCCAGAGTTAGTGACTTTTCGCGCGCTTCTACTTCTCTCTTTAGAAACAACAATAAATCTGACACTGTTGACTCTGTGTCGACCTTTTGCTCCCTACTAAACTGTAACACTAACACTAAATCTTGCGGTATACACTTATATAAAATAGGAAGTAATAGACTGCCGTAAGAATTAAAATTAATATCTAATGTCTAAACTTCTTGTTTGAACTGTTATTTCATCATATAGTTTTCTTAAACTGGATACATCACTTGAAAGGCGTACTGACTCTAAAGCTAGGAGAACGTTCATATGCGCGCTAACTAATATTTCGTTTTTCCCAAATCTGTCAGTTAAGATTTCGATGGCCTTTATATAGTTTTCTCCTATTAATGGCAATCCGCTTATAGCTTTTGCAGCTGAACCGGTGAGTAAAGATCTTAAATAGTTAAACTTCTCAACATCCTGAAGCGTATTGTTTTCGTGAATGGCAGCTTTATACTGAGCCCAAAATTCAGTAAATTTACATAAATCGCCGCTGAAAGTTTCTAAGGTAATGCGAGGCAATTTAGTATTATAATTAGTTTTGATTTCCGAAACTTGTGAAGTTGTTCCGGTTTTACCCACATTTCGAATATATCTATTGACTTTAGATTTACATCTAATGATGGATTCGCTGTATTCTAAACAATGTTCTACTTCTGTCTCTAATTCCTGAACAGTGCTTTGAGCATTAATAACTTCATCATATTTTAACAAGCTACTTTCTCTCTCGATTAACACTGAAAGCGATTCCTGCAACACTTCTAGGTTCGGATTCTCGCTTTGCAATTCCTCATCCAATTTCCTTATTAATTTTGTTACACTGGTACGAACCGAACCTCTAATTTTTCTATTTCTCTCGACGGTTTCTTCAAAACTCATTATCAAAGATAAATTGCATGCAGATAAATGAAATGACTCACCTTCCCGGCCGATGCACCAAAACTTGATGTATGTAATAACTTACTTACATCTTCTTTATCGGTGGTTCTTGTGTTCTATTGGCCAAACAAAGACACTTTCCTTTAACTAAATCTATTTAATGAAGAGAAGACTATGTACAAATATATATACAGATACAGATTACAGAGTATCTAGTTTATGTCACTCTCAACCACTCTCATCAACCTCTCAACCCTCTCTCCCGAAACTCTTAATTAGCTAAACATACGGGCGGCGCAGCGCCCTCTATCTCTTTTTTTCTACACACCTAAAGAAGGAAGCTTTCTATTGGCGTAGTGTAACTCTGTTTACTACGGTACCACTTATTCGTGCAGGGACAAATTCTCGACCTGGATCAATTGTCAGTTTAGAGAAAACTTAGGAATACGGTAAAAAAACGTAAAAAAGTATTGTATTCGTTCTTTAACAAAAACTTTCGCAATAATTTATTGGATTTTCGTAGATTTTTTCCCCCAAAAAACAAATAATCCATTTATTATTAATCTATTTGCGCGCGTCATTGATTTGATTTACGTCGATACGGCAGAAGAAAATTTGGTGTCACAGAAATTTGAACTCTTGAGGAACGCCCATCGACACCGGCTGAACAACTATTTCGTGCATGTAAAAAAAGAATTAAGGCCGGATCTGGTTCACCGGTTCGACAGCTATTTCGCTCATGGACAAAAGAGGTATAGAGCTGAATGGATAGAACCTGTAAAACAAATTTTGAGTATATTTTTCTATCTGCTGTCTGGCGGAGCCACTTCTCTTTTGGAGAAGATTTCTTTCTTTACACTGGCTGAGTTTGGTAAAGAATAACAAAACATCCTCGAGCAGAATTCGAGTAATTGTATGAAGGACAATTGGAAGAACCATATTCTATTTCTCCAGAATTAGAGGTTTAAGGTATATTGTACTAAACGATGATGGATAAGCAACTCATAGGATGTAAATCTAAGATGAATCCGATGGCCAAACCCATCTTTCTCTATGGCCAAAAGAAAAGTCCAACCCAAGCCGGAACTGCACAAAGATAACCAATAATTGCATATCCATCGCTTCTCCATTCGGTAGCAAAATCTCGGGTATTGACGAATGACTGTGGAAATATAAAGCGACAAGTCGGTCGGAGAAAAAGCAGCTATTTCGAAAGACCCCAGAGGATACAAGCGTTGTGAACTACATAATCACTTTACCTTCTCTGCCAACTAATCAGTCGCTGAGTCATATTCATAAAGCTGTTATCACACTTTGAAAACATATGGAAAGCAAAGATATTTGGTACAATTTTTTTGTTTTGTCACATGATAAAATGTATTGAACCAGTGCAGATAACCATAGATACCATGTAAAAGGAAACTATAATCCAGTATAATCACTGGGAAAAAAAAAAAAAAAAAAAAAAAAAAAAAACAATATTATATTATTAGAGAAATAAGCGAGATTCTCACATGAAGTACACACATGAAGTTGTCCAATATTTTCTTATTTTTATTCACATCCCATCTTACACAAAAATCATATTACACTGAAATAATCACAGTATCACCGAGTACAATCAGTAGCTACACCTCAAACTAGTATGAAGGTTAAACGCAACGAAATGCAAATCGCATCTAAAGAGAAAGCTACATTCCTAACTCACAACTCACAACAACAACTAACAGCAGATGCTCTCTCAGGCGTTATATAGTTTTCACCCAGCTGTCGAGATATTTCTAGTACTTTCTGCTTCTTGAAATTCCTGGAAGGCAACATGAAGGTCGAGTTACGATTAAGGTTAATATAGCGATCAATTACATTTATTCAGTTACAATACGATACAGGGACCGGACCAAAATTTTGCCGAACATTTGCCAATTTTGGCGAGTTTTGGTAAATTATTCTCAAGTCTGGCGAGAAAATAAGTCGCCAAAACCGTTTCCAGCCTGACTATATCTCGCCAAATTACAGAAATCTCCATTTATTTAATGTTAAAAAGACTTGCCCCGGTATTTCTTCGCTCCTTTAGATTTTCATGTTACATTATATAAAAGAAATACAACAATTTCACTAAAACTGTAGAGACATTAGGTATTTTTTGGAAGCAGGCAAGATGAAAAATTAGCAACGCCTTCGCCGGGAATCGAACCACAGACCTCTGGAATACGCGTTCAGCATGCAGACGACCACACCACGAAGGCTCGCCAAGAACGTGGGAGAAATATCTTATAAAATTATCTGTCTACGTACAAAATTCGTCACAACACATTTAACATAAAGAAAATGAAATTAGAAGCAAAAGTACTTTTATATTTA